AATCGTCCAAGGGGGGCGGTGACTAGTAATAAGGGGGGCGGTAATTAGTAATGCCCTAAAAAGAAATGTGACTATGTACTAAATGTCAAAATTCGAATAAATTACCAAAGAATGGATTATAGCTCTTGCTTTGGGCCTGGCAGTTAAACATGACGATTGGGTCAAAAATATTTTCTATAATGGGCCTTGAATATTAGCCCAGCTAGTTTCAGAATGAAGCACTGGCCCAACTAGGCTCGCCTGTGTAAACTATTTCAGCTTCCTTTCTTGCGCAAAAAGAAGAGCAGAACAAAGAAATACTGAATTTGGGGGAGAATTAAAACGAGAGAGAGAGAGAAGAAAAGAGAAAGAAGAAAAATGGATCCGAAATTGACAGAAGTTTCGCAAGTCTTCGAGCGATTTAAAGCGGCATTTGTGAGGAAGGATTTTGATACTTGCACCAAACTTCTGTCTCAGCTAAAGGTACAGCTTCGATTTCTCAGATTTCATGTAATTTTTGTGGGTTTTAGTTTAATTTTATGGTGTTCTGAGTTTTTAGGTCTTGTGGGCTTTTGCCTTCAGTGGTTTAGCTGGAAATTAACCGATTTTTCTGGGAAATTAACAGATTTTTGCCTTCAGTTGATTTGGGATTTTGCTTAGGGTTTATGTAAGGAAGAACTTGTTGAAGAAAAAAAAAATCAGATATTTATGTTGGCGGCTTGGCGTTCCTGGTGTTAATCTGTGCAGTTTATGAAATAGTTAGACTTTTGTGAGATAAATAAGATGTCAGATCCGTATTTTTTTTTCGCAATGTTTGCGGCTTTTATATTTTCATGCTGAATCTTGAAAAGATAAGAGTAGTTTTACGAATGCGTATGTTGGAAGTTGTAAAGTGCGAATCTTTATTTTTCTGAATTCAACGTTTAGATTATAGTGTTTGAGTTCTGTAATTTCTTTCTTGGTATCAGCGAAGCTAAATTGCATAGGATTAAATGTGATACTTTCCCATGCTTTTGGTGACTTTGTTACTGTAAAGGAAACATGATTATCTCATCAATGGCATGTCTAGTGAAATGTTAATTAAAGGATGAAGTATGGTGAAATGAGTGTAACAGTTTAATCAAGTGTGCGGGCAACGAAGATTTGCTTGTATCAGCTAAATGGATACATTGTTAACTTAAAACTGTTCGGAAAAGATCAAATTCGTGGAATGTTACTCCGCAATGTTGTTTCACTTTTTTGTTAATGTTTATATTGATGTATGTTGCCAATAATTATATATTTGATATGGCAGGTTTCATTGACGGGCTTCAAGAGTCTTCCTCCGTTATTTGAAGACACACCGAATGCCATCCATGAGTTGACACTAGCAAGTAATATGATTTATGCATCTTAGATGTTCTCTCTTTTCTTTTTCTTTTCCCCCCCATTTTTTTAAGTGGGCTAATTTTGTACATTTGTCTTTATTGGTGTTCTGTTCTGTCCTACGAGTTCTTCTAATTCTGTTCTTTTCCAGGGGACATATTTGAGCATGCTGTTGTTCTAAGTGTGAAGATTGAGGACCAGGGTGCTTTTGAGAGGGACTTTTTCCAGCTGAAGCCCTATTACACTGATACTCAGTAATTATCCTTGTAAAATTGTTTGTATATGTGATGCAACAACTAGGAAGCTAACACTGCCATACCCCATACATGCTGAAAACTGGTTTTCAGTTTGTTCTTTAAGTGTTTTTTCTTTAACGAATTTCATCTTTTAAGATCATCTAACATAATAGATGCATAATTCTATGCACTGTGCAAAATTACATTCACATGCATCGAATTCAAACACATGCCCTGTCAAATACAGTGAAGGATTGAATTCTACTATTATCTAAATTTCAAATTTGTTTTATCCAGTACTTTCTTATTCTAGAACTGTTATAATTGTGCCCAAAAATATTCCATGACCTAGTGCGGTCTGAAAGAAAATCCAAACTGTGGCAGTTCATCTTCACTGAAACAAAGAACCATGTTACAAATCCTGATCAACGTTATTCGGCTTCTATAGTGTTTTAAAATGTAGAGTTTGATAGTTTCCATCCATATAGATCATTTTCAGTAAGTTTCGCTCAAAATCGCAATACTAAAAGTTCCGAAGCAATTTTTTATGACCGTATTTCATGTGATTGGGCAGAGGCCGTCTCCCGCCTTCCCCTCAGGAGTATCCCATTCTGGGTCTCAACCTTCTGAGACTCCTCGTGCAGAACAGAATAGCTGAATTCCACACAGAGCTGGAGTTACTCACATCTCGTGCTCTAGAAAACCCATGCATTAAACATGCTGTTGAACTGGAGCAATCCTTCATGGAAGGAGCTTATAACCGTGTTCTGAGTGCTAGACAGACTGTTCCTCACGAGACATATGTCTACTTCATGGACTTGTTGGCAAAGACTGTCAGGTAAAGTTTTTGAACTTATAGAGATCGCTATCTTCAGCATACTAGACAGTACATGCTTATGTGTGTGTGTGTGTGTGTATATCCTTCTGTTAATTAACTATCACAGTATCATACCAATTGTAGTTTTACTACCTACTCAAGAGAATGTGTAGGTAAGTAGGTTTGTACAATTAGTTCTTCTCCTGAGGTTTTGTATCTGATTGTTTGTACCTGTGATTTTTAGTTTTTTACGAGCATTAGAAGTTCAATTTTTGTAACTTTTTTTAGGACACTATATATGCTCATGAATATGTGATCGTTATGTTGTGCTTTACAGTCATTTTATGTTGGTGCTTTAATGAGTTTGTAGGGATGAGATAGCCGGGTGCAGTGAGAAGGCTTACGACTCTCTCTCGTTGAATGATGCTCAGCAAATGCTGCTGTTTTCTTCTGAAAAAGAATTACTCGGATATATAGAGAAGGTTAAATTAAATTTATTGCACCTTGACAAAAAAAAAAAAAAAAA